ACGGGACAAATGTATTAAATTGGTTATTTTTCACAGGCTTCCGTTTAAGCCTAAAAAACAATAGAATTATCATATATTTCCCACCTCTTTTAATTAGCTTTAAGTCTAAAAAGCAATAGAGTTATAATCTATTTTTCACCTCTTTTAATCAGCGTTTTTTTTAGCCAGAACATGACAAATGAGCATGAGTGTTAACTTATAAAATAGTTAATATATTATCTCACTAATACATTTATACTAATATAAATTTGATTTTAGTACATATATTTATTCTAAGAGAAAGTAACAGTTTTGATTATTATTGTTTATCATATAATACTTAATTATTATTTTACTATAAACATTTTATCATATAATGTAATTTTTATTTATAAAAGTTAAAGAAGTTGTAATTCTTCTCTTGTCATATTATTTTATGTGATGAAAAATATTCAAGGCACATTATTATTATTTATTTATTTAATCAATTTAAAATATGTAAATAAATCTAAAATTAAATAGTGTTTAAATATTTTACAAAATATATACACAAGTTTTTTTAGAATTTAATTTTGTATACTAATTAAACAACTTTGATTTAGGAAAATGCAAAAAACTCAATACCTTCTGTAATCAAGATTTTTCTAATCTACATTATAAGAATTTGTAGTTTATTTAGCATACCTACAATGAAAAAAATATATATTATAATAATTTTATTATACAAATAAATCAAATTAAAGTAAAACAAAAAAAGATCATGGTTGTCAATAATATACAAATAAATTCTAAAGAACAATTAATATATTTCATTTTTTTTACTATTAGCAAAACTATTTAATGTATATGATCATTATCTCTTGAATAAAAAATTATATTAATTTAAACAATAATTTATTTTTTATATATAGATATAGATGGGATGTTGTAAATATTATTGTAACAAATAAGAATATTTATTAGTGGGGTTTATATTCTCGCTATAATGATAGTTTTATATTATTAAATTAGTTATATTTCCATAAAAAAAAAATGGGATTTGCGTTTCCAAACAATGGAGTTATCCGGCAATATTGATTTCCATAAAAAATGGGATTTGCATCCCCAATCAATTAAATCATTTGATTCCATATCTTCACAATTAATACTGAGCTATTTTTCAGTCCGAATTATCCAAAATTTCTTTATTTAGCATGTAATTAATTGTTCTTTGACTATTCTTGCTGCTAATTTTAATAAAATATGATGACTTTTTATATATATATAGATTTTGTTAGTTTACTATTTTTAGACAATAATTAATGAAATTGGCGGGAAAGTATTTCTATAAGTGAATTATGTTAATCCTTATTATATATTAATAGATAGGAAGTGGAAGTCCAGAATGGGAAGTTGGAACAATATAACCCATTCGATTGACAAGTTGAATTTTGTACGAAACGAAAGGAGACTGTGTTATAGTGGTTCGGTTAATTCGGTTTCTTGAGTAACTAGTACAATACCCGTGTATTACACGGGTGCTTGTTAAAAATTATTCTTAAATTTTAAAATCAATGAGAAAATTATATTAAATTTAGTTTACTTTTTTACAAAAAAAAATATATTACTATATATTTTAGAATGATATGTGTTACTTATGACTTACATGTGTTATATTATATTAGTTTTTATAACTTATATCATATAACTACTTGAAATATAAATATATTACGTGATAAATAATTTTATTTTTTTAATTAATATTAAAAATAATTTTATTATTGTTATAAAGATAAATATAAATTATTTTTTTTATACATACAATATGGATGTTAAATCGAAGCTTATCAAAAGAAGATTAATTTGATATATTACATATGTAAAACTGATAAAAAATACAAAAGTTATTAACTTTTAAAATATATATACAATTCAATAGTTATAATAAGAAATCTATTAATATATAATAAGGATTAACATAATTCATTTTTAGAAATATTTTCCCGCCAATTTTATTAATTATTGACTAAAAATAGTAAATTAACAAAATCTCTATTTATTAGCATACTTTTTTTATCCAATTTTTTTTTAGGAATACAATAAAAAATATGGAATCAAAATCAAAATAAATATAAGAAATACACTTACCATACTTAATACACTTAATTTAAGAAACACACTTACCATATGTATTTTTAAAAAATTTTAAAATACAATATAAAATATTTAATTAATAATTGTCAATTAAAGATTCTTTTTAAGAATCAATCATATTTCTAATAATTGTTAGAAATAATTTATATATATATATATATTAGTATTTCGTGAAAGTAACATATATGTTACTTATATGTTAACATATATGTTAATCCTATATAATAAGGATTGACATAAATCAAATTTAGAAATAATTTCCCGCCACTTTCATTAATTATCTCCTAAAAATAGTAAATCAGATTTTTTTTGTTTTTTTATTAATAACAT